AGATGTCCTTCCCTAAAGGACATTAGTGAACCAGATGGGTTTTTCCAACAATCGACAATGGATTCATGGTCATCATTAGATTCTTAATTCCAGGTATTTTATTGAATTCAAATTCCACCATCTGCCATGGTGGGATTCGAACCCAGGTCCCCAGGACATTATCTGAGTCTCTGGATTAACAGTCCAGTGATAATACCACTAGGCCATCACCTCCCCATCTGTTGTAATTAAGACTTGAGTAATCAAGAGGGTATTAAAACACATTTAGTAAAACCCAAGGCACTCAAAGATTTATAATGGTCCAGTGAAAGGGAAATCATGTTTAACCAACTTATTTGACTTCATTGAAGGAGTGACATGTGCTACGACTAAGGAAAGGTTGCAGATGTATCATAATTAGATTTCCAGAAGGCATTTGACAAGGTCCCACATCAAACGCTATCGCAGAAAATAAATGCTCATGGTATATGGAGCAACTTGTGAGCGTGGATAAAAGGTTTTCTTGCCAGCAAGACTCTGCAGAAAATAATACAAGGATAAAACAAAGAATTGCAAAAGCAAAAACAGGAATTGCTGGAGAAATTCAGCTGGTCTGACAATACCTACCATTGTACCCCTATAATGTGGAAACAGGCCATTTGGCCCAACAAGTCCACATCAACTTTCTGAAGAGCATCCCACCTAGACCAACTCTATTCATTCAACCCTGCACTTCCCATGCTAAAGTTCCTAACCTGGTCACTATGAGCAATTTAGCATGGCCAATCCAGCTAACGTGCACATTTTTGGACTACCTGTAGGAGGAAAGCAGAGTTAATGCTTCAAATCTGCAAATCTGATGACTCTTCATCAGAATGCAGTTGCAGCACAGTATGCATAAAATAGTCTTTGTCTTATTGGCAGGATGCAATAAGTTGAGTCCCACAGGGGACTATGCTTGTGGCGTCAACATTTTCACATTTGCATCAATGAGCGAAGAGAAGACATGATAACTAAATTCTCAGAAACACAAAGGTAGGTATGAAAGTAAATTGTGAAGCATACAAGCAGCTTGCACAAAATTATAGATAGGTTGAGTGTGCAGGCAAAAATTAGGTAGGTAGAGTATAATATGGAAAATGTGTAATTGTTCTTTTTGACAAGATGAATAAAAAAACTGGTATTATTTAAATAGAGAACGACTGCAGAATTCTGAAGTCCAGGAGGGATTTTGGTGCTCCACTGCATGAATCAGAAATGTTAGTACACCAGTATAGCAGATAATCAAGAAATCCAAATGAGATGCTATGCTTTGTTACAAAAGGATTTAACATAAAAATAAGTATAACATGCTTAAGTTATACTGAGCATTGCTGACACCATGCTCGAATACTGTATGCAATTTTGGTCTCCTTATTTAATGATGTGAATAAATTGCAGGCAGTTCAGATGTGGTTTAGTAGATTGATACCTGGAATAATGAATTATGAGAATAGGTTGGACAAACTGAGCTGGATTCCACTGGAGTTAGAAGAGTGGGGGCATGACTTGATTGAAGTCTAAGATCCTAAATGGCCTTGATGAGGTAGATGTGGAAAAGGATATTTCCCTTTGTGGGGGAGTCCAGAAGTAGAAGGCATGGTTTTAAAATTAGGGGTGGCCCTTTTGGGACAGAGATGAGGAGAATTGTTTTCTCAGAGGATTGGGCAATTTAGGAACACTCTGTCTCAGGAGGCAATGGATACGGAATTTTTTTTTTGTTAGGCAAAGATAAATTGATTTTCTTGTCCAATAAGAATCTAGGTTTATGGACTAGGAGAGTGGAATTGGAAACACAATCAGATCAACCACAAACGTAATAAATGGTACAGCAGGATCATGCGTCAAATGATCTACTTCTACTCCTATTTCACATGTTCTTAACAATACTTGTATCGTCAATATTACAGAGACTAGGTATCATGGCGGGATTTGAACCAGTGTCATCATAGCATTAGCCTGGGCCTCATGATCATGAGAAATTACCACCATCTTCCCCATGATCTTATCAATTGTTACATCATTGATTGAGAGAGCTAGCTTTACAAAACAAATTGGCTCTCTGGTCTTTTTTTTTCTATTCATTCATGGGATGAGGGCGTCGCTGACCAGGCAGCATTTATTGCCCAACCCTAACTGCCCTGGTTCAGAGTCAACCACATTGCTGTAGGTCAGGAGTTACACATAGGCCAGACCAGGTAAGGATAGCAGTTTCCTTCCTAAAGGACAATCTAATAAGAATCTAAGGTTACTGGGGACAGACAGGCATGCGGAATTAGAAACCAGTCAGAGGGAAATTGAGGAACAAGTATGTAGAGAGACCTCAGATATATCTAAGAATAATAAGGCTGTAATAGTAGGTGATTTTATTTTTCCAAACATTGACTGGGACTGCCATAGTGTTAAAGGTGCAGATGTGATGAATTTTATAGAATCTCTCCAGCGTGGAAGCAGGCTATTTGAACCATCGAATCACACTGACCCTCTGAAGAGGATCCCACCCAGACCCACATCCCTAGCCTATGTGATCTTGCATTTCCCACGGCTAATCTACCTGGCCTGCACATTCCTGGACTCTATGGGCAATTTAGCATGGCCAGTCCACCTAATGTGCACATCTTTGGACTGCGGGAGGAGACTGGAGCACTTGGACAGACCCACGTAGGTACAGAGAGAATGTGCAAACTCCACACCATAAGTCACCGAAGGGTAGAATCAAACCCAGGTCCCTAGAGCCGTGAGGCAGAGTGCTAACTACTGTGCCACCAATTTGTTAAATGTGTTCAAGAAAATTTTCTTAATCAATATATGAATGTTTGTACTAGAGAAGGAGCAAAAACTGACCTTTTCTTGGGTAATAAGGCAGGGCAAGTAACTGAAACGATAGTAATTCAAACACTTTAGGTCTAATGATCATAATTCTATTAGTTCTGAAATAGTTTATGGGTAAGGATAAGCCTTCTATAAAAATCAAAGTTTTTACTTCAAGTAAGGCAAATTTTAATGATATGAGATCAGAGCTTTCAAAGATTGATTGGAGTAGACTGTCCGCAGGTAAAGAAACATCTGGTAAGTGACAGGCTTTCAAAAGTGTGATAACGAGAATTCGGAGTCATTATGTTCCTGTTAGAGTGAAAGATAAGGCTGGTAGGATTAGAGAACAATTGATGTATAATGATACTGAGGGTCTAGTCAAGAATTTAAAAAAATCATGTATTAGACATGGACAACTGGGTTCAAATGAATCTCTTGAACACTATGAAGAGTTTAGGAGCATTCTTAAGAGGAAATCAGGAATGCAAAGAGAGGATATGAGACATCCTTGATAAATAAGGTTAATGACAATCTAAAGAAATTCTACAAGTACATTAAGAAGAAGACAGCAACTAGAGATAGAGTAAGGCTCCTTAAAGATCAAAGAGGCCATCTTTTTGTTGAACCTAAGGAGATGGGAGATATATTAAATCAATATTTCGCATTAGTTTTTAAACTGTGGATAGAAATGGAGGCTAAAGAACTCAGGGAAATAAATATTGATGTTTTGAAAACAGTTCACATTATACAAGAGGAAGTGCTGGACGTCTTAGAAAATATAAAAGTGGATAAATCTCCTGGACCTGATCTAGCGTATCCCAGGGTGTTGTTGGAAGTTTGAAAGGAAAGTGTGGGGTCCCTTGCAAAAATATTTGCATCATCTATAAATACATGTGAGGTGCCGGCTTACTGGACAGTGGCTAATGTTGTGCCTTTGTTGAAGAAGGGATGTAGGAAGAAGCCTGGGAATTGTACACCTGTGAGTCTGACTTCGGTGGTGAGTAAGTTGTTGGAAGTGATTCTGAAAAATAGGAGTATATTTGGAGAGTCAAGGAATTAGGGATGGTCGGCACGGTTTTGTGCAAGGGAAATCGTGTCTCACAAACTTGATTGCATTTTTGAGGAAGTAACCGAGATGGTTGATGAGTGTAGTAGACATTGTTTACTTGGACTTTAGTAATGTCTTTGACAAGAGTTCCGCATGATAGACTAATTAATTAAAGTTAGATCACGTGGAATTCAGGGGGAGCTTGTCAGTTGGATACAAAATTGACTTAATGGCAGGAGACAGAGTGACGGTGAAGAGCTTGTTTTCGGACTGAAGATCTGTGACCAGAGGTGTTCCGCAGGGATCTGTGCTGGGTCCACTTTTATTTGTCATTTATATAAATTTTTTGAATGATAATATCGAAGGCATTGTTGGTAAGTTTGCACTTGACACTAAACTTGGTGATGTAGTGGACAGTGAAGAAGGTCATCAAGAGTTCTTGATCAATTGGGTGAAGACTGGCAGATGGAGTTTAATTTGGATAAATGCGAGGTATTGCGTTTTGGTAAAACAAGCAAGGGCAGGACTTACACAATTAAAAGTAGGGAATTGGGCAGTGTTGTAGAACAGACAGACAGGTACACAATTCTTTGAAGTTTTCATCACACGTAGACAGGGTGGTTAAGAAGGAATTTAGCATGCTTGCCTTCATTGCTCAGACCTTTGACTATAGGAGTTGGGACGTTGTGTTGAGGTTGTACAGGATGTTAGTGAGGCCTCTTCTGGAGTAATGTGCTAACCCTGGTATAAGGATGGATATTATTAAGCTGGAGAGATTTCAGAAGAGATGTACCAGGATGCTGCCAGGAATTGCGAACTTGAGTTATAAGGAAAGGCTGGGATTTTTCTCACTGGATTGTAGAAGGTTGAGGAGTGACCTTATTGAGGTTTATAAAATCATGAAGGGTATAGCTAAGGTGAATGGCAGGTCTTTTCCTAAGGGTGGGGGATTTCAAGACTAGGGGACACGTTTTTAAGGTGAAAGGAGAAAGATTTACAAATATGAGGGGCAACTTCAGACATTCAGCGCTCCTAAACAAGGCACCAATGATCTAATCCAATGAGAAGTGGGATCATGGTGTCATTGACAATACTAACAATGACACTCTTAATAACATACCATGTTCATGACAGTCAATATGAATCGTTGAGCAGCTTCGGCCCCATGATACTCGACCATGTCGGAATCCGCCACCACCAATGTCTCCACTGTATATTCATTGGTTAATTGAATGGCATTTCTCCTTGGCCGCCGGCCATCAGCTTTCTTCAGTGTCTTTCTTCCTAAAATGGAATGTTAATACATTACTTGTGCTCAACTAGACCAAGCATTGAGAAATGGAAAAACAAAATCACAAATCATCAGGTAACCTATTAACCTTATCACTGCAGCTCTCATCTCCTGATCAGATGACAGTGGTTCAATAGCATTTGTAAAGTAAACTGTGGAACTTTCTTTATATATATAATACACATGTACTGTAAGAGTCACCGAGTCTGTTTTTGTGCTGTATGAATCTTCGATCCAACCAGTCAATGCCAACCATAACGCCAAACTAAACTAGTTCCACTTGCCTGTGCTTGGTCCATATCCTTCCAAACATTTCTTATTCATGTACTTATCCAAATGTCTTTTAAACATTGTAACTGTACCTGCATTTGCCATTTTCTCTGTAAGTCCATTCCACATAAGAAGCACTCTCTGTGTAAAATAGTTACTCCTCACATCTTCTTTAAATCTTTCTCCTTTCACTTTAAAAATATGCCTGCTAGTCTTAACATCTCCATTCTAGGGAAAAGATACCTTTTCTATGCCCCTCAGATTTTATAAACGTCAATAAAGTCACCCCTCCAACACTCCAGTGAAAATCATCCCAGTCTATCCAGCCTATTTTTATTATCCAAAGCCTCCATTCCAGGGAAATATTTTCTGAAACCTCTCCATTTAATAATATCCTTCCTATAACAGGGCAACCAGAACGGAACACTGTACTCCAGAAGAGGCCGCACTAACATCCTGTACAACCTTAACATGATGTCCCAACTCCTATACTCAAAGGTCTGAGCAGTGAAGGCAAGCATGCTAAATTCCTTCTTAACCACCCTGTCTATGATGCAAACTTCTAAGAATTATGTACCTGAACCCCTAGATCTGTCTGTTCTACGACACCACCCTACTTTTAATTGTATAAATTCTGCCCTTCCTTGTTTTACCAAAATGCAATACCTTGCATTTATCCAAATTTAAACTCCACCTGCCACTCTTCACCCCATTGACCCAATTGATCAAGAACTCTTTGTAATCTTAGATAACTTTCTTCACTATTCACTACATCAAAAGTTTAGTGTCATCCACAAACTTACTAATCATGCTTTCTATATTATCATTCAAATAATTTATATAAATGACAAACAAAAGTGGACCCAGCACCAATCCCTGTGGACACTGCTAGTAACAGGCCTCCAGTCCGAAAAACAATCCTCCACCACCACTCTCTGTCTCCTGCCATTAAGCCAATTTTGTATCCAACTGGCCAGCTCACCCTGAATTTCAGATGATCTAACTTTATTTAATAATCTACCATGTCAAAGGCTTTAATAAAGCCCAAGTAAACAACGTCTCCCACTCTGCCCTCATCAATCAACTTGGTTACTTTTTCAAAAACTCAATCAAGTTTGTGAGACACAATTTCCCTTGCACAAAACCATACTGACCACCGCTAATCATTCCTTGCTTCACCAAATGTATATAAATCCTTTCTTTGAGAATCACCTCCAACAACCTACCCACCACCAAAGTTAGATCACAGGTCTATAGTTCCCAGGTTTCTCCTCACATCCCTTCTTCAACAAAGGCACAGCATTATCCAGTCATCTGGCACCTCATCTGTAGTTACAGATGACACAAACATTTTTACAAGGGACCCCACAATGTTTTCCCTAACTTCCTACAATGTCCTGGGATACGCTAGATCAGGTCCTGGAGATTTATCCACCTTTATATTTTCTAAGATCTCCAGCACTTCCTCTTCTGTAACGTAAACTATTTTCAAAACATCAGTATTTATTTCCCTGAGTTCTCTCGCTTCCATTTTTTTCTCCACAGTAAAAACTGACGTAAAATACTCATTTATTATATCTCCCATCTCCTGAGGTTCAACAAAAAGATGACCTCTTTGATCTTTAAGGGGGCCTACTCTCTCTCGGGAATCTGACTTTTGAGTTAGTAACCTGCAGGTCTTCTGTGCATCTGAAGTTATTAATTTTATTAATTGAAGTTATAAATGCGGAGATGTCCAGGAGTTGAGATGACTGACCTCCAACATCCACAACCATCCTCCTATGTGCCAGGTATGATTCCAACCAGCAGAAAGTTTGCGCCCTGATTCCTACTGATTCCAGTTTTGTTAGGCCTCCTTCATAGCACATTTGGTCAAATGTGGCCTTGATGTCAAGGCTATCCCTTGCATCTCACCTCTGGAATTCAGGGCTTTTGTCCATGTTTGAACCTTGTGGGAAGTCAGTAATCTCAACTCCTGGACATCTCTGCAGGAGCTTCTCAGGGTAGTGTCCTAGGTACAACAATCTTCAGCTGCTTCATCAAAAACCTTCCCTTCATAAAATCATAAGTGGGGATGTTCACCAATAATTGCACAATGTTCAGCATCATTGATGACTCCTCAGAAACTGAAGCAGTTCCTGTTAAAATGCAACAAGATCTGGACAATATCCAGGCTTGGACTGACAAGTGGCAAGTAATGTTCACACTACACAAATGTCAGGCAATGACCATCTACCATTGGAGATAATGTAACCACCATTCTTTTATATTCAATGGCGTTACCATCACTGAAAACTCCAATATCAACATCTTAGAGGTTACCATTGACCACAAACTGCACTGGACTTGTGATATAAATACAGTGGCTACAAGAGCAGGTCAGAAGCTGCGGTGAGAATAAGAATAAGAATAAGAATATATAAGAATACTGTGGTGAATAACTCCCCTTCTGACTCCCCAAGTCTACCATCTACAAGGCACAAATCAAGAGTGTGATGGAATACTCCTCACTTGCCTAGATGGGTACAGCTCCATCAAAATTCAAGAAGCTTGATACCATCCAGGACAAAGCAGACAACTTGATTGGCACCACATCCACAAACATCCACTCCCTCCAACGCCAACACTCAGTAGCAGCAGTGTGTACTATGTACAAAATGTACTGCTGAAATTCAGTAAAGATCCATAGGCAGCACCTTCCCAACCCACAACCATATCATCTAGAAGGACAAGGGCAGCAGTTACATAGCAACACCACCACCCTCAAGGTCCCCTCCAAGCCACTCCACATCTTGACTTGGAAATATATCACTTTAATGAGGTCGGGAGCTGAGTGTCCCTAGCAGAACCTAAACTGAGTGTCAGTGAACAGGTTATTGCTGAGAAGGCGCTAAACTGGAGGGACACCAATATCCTTGTGGGGTTTGCTAGTGCTGCTTAAGAGGGTTTAAGCTAGTGTGGCAGGGGATAGGAACTGGAGCAGCAGGTCAGCACGTGAAGAGAAGGTAGAGATTAATAGACTGAACAAGCAAGACCAGTTCAATGAACAAGGTGGGACTATAAAAAGTGTATTGAGTAAGACAGGAGGGAGAAATAATAAAAAGATGCTGAAGGACATGATCAAGTGTACAGCCCAAATTACAGTCCTTTATACAAATGCTTAGAGTGTAAGGAACAAATTAAATGAGTTGCACGCACATATTCAAATTATAAACAATGGTACAGTAGCCATTGCAGAGCTGGAGGATGGTCAGGACTGGGAACCAAACTTACCAGGTTACAAGGTTTACAGGAAGGCTGGAGAAAAAAGCATTGGGTATGAAGTAGCATTCCCGATTAGAAACAGTCACTCCTATGGTGAGGGAGGATGTAATGAGGAGAAAGCACTCAATGGATGGAACTGAGGAATCATAAAGTAACTAAAACCACAATAGGTATCAAATATAGATCACATGGCAAAATCTCAAAAGTGCTAGACTGTATAAATGCTGAAATTAGGAAACTACATAGAAAAGGCAGAGTAGTTTTAACAGGGATTTTAATCTTAACGGACTGTGAGAGACAGACAAGCACCTGCCAGAAAGACTGTGAATTTCTAGTTTGTCCAGAATAGTTTCCTATGGCAATATGTCATTGATGTGAGAAAGGATCATGCAATATTTGACTAGTAATGAGTCTGATTTAATTAATGTAATTTAATTTAATTTAATTTAACGTTCGTGAGCATTTGTCAAATAGTGATCATGTTTCATGTAGCATTTGTAAGTGACAAGCAAAGATCATATTCTAGAATTTTGGAGTTAAGTAAGGCAGACTTTAATGGGATGAAGCAGAGACTGTCCATGCTAAATTAGAATGCTGTGCTAATAGGTAAAACAGTGAAGGAACTGTGGGGGTATTCAAAGAAACATTTTATATTGTTCTCAAAAAGAGTTTGCACCCATGTGAAGGAAAAGGTCCACCTCACAAAAAAAACAGCCATGGACCTCTGAGGTGGTAAGGGACAGCGTAAAATTAAAAGAAAGAGTTTATAAAAACACAGAGAAAAGTACAGATTCCACAGAATGGGACAATTATAAAGACGAACAAAGGGCCACAAAGTGCCTTAAAAGAGCAGCCAAAAAAGTTAATGAAAGGAAACTTTCAAGGGTCAAAAAGACAATAAGAAGAGTTTGTATAGTTATATGAAGGAAAAGCAGCTGGTTAAGAGTATTATTGGCTCACTGTGGAGAGTGGGAATATTGCCAGTCACCATGGGGAAATGGCAGACATTCCGAATAAATATTTTGCTTCAGTATTCACAGCAAAAAGGGAGGATAGCTCATGGAAGTCCCAAACAGAGTAACAGAGGATCATGAACAGGATCTAAATAAAAGGGAAATTAATGGAACTGACAATTGCTAAATCCCCAGGACCTAACAGTTACCATCTACGAGTATTAAAGGTGGCTTTTTTTTCCCTTTCTTCATTCACGGGATAAGGGCGTCACTGGCTAGGCAGCATTTATTGCCCATCTCTAATTGCCCAGAGGGCAGTTAAGAGTCAACCACATTGCTGTGGGTCTGGAGACACACATAGGCCACAGGTAAGGATGGCAGTTTCCTTCTCTAAAGGACTCTAGGTAGGAGAGCACATTGCCAATGTCCTCACCATAATCTTTCAGAGTTTCCTGGATTCAGGAGTTGAATCTCTAGATTGGAAATTTGCTCATGTCATTCCACTCTTTAAGGAGAGTGACAGAGAGAAACCTTGAATTACAAACAAGTCAACTTAACATTTGTGGTGAGAGAACTGTTGGAGTGTATAAACAAGGATACAGTAACTGATCATCTTAAATTTTCAGTTAATCAGGGGGAGTCAACGTGGACTCATGAAGGGTAGGTCATGCCTGATGAACCTCAGATATTTTTTGAAGAACTGACAGGGGTGATGGACACAGATAAGTCAATGGATATTGTTTATATGGATTTCCAGAAACTATTGATAAAGTCCCACACAAGAGAATGTTAGTTCAGGAGAAAGCACCCATAATTAGAATTAGATTTTTATTCGAATTAGGTTTTATTGTCACGTGTACTCAAGTACAAAAGTACAGGAGTAGAGAA